TGTGTGTGTGTGAAACTGTGTGTGTGTAAGTTAGGAGGACAATAGTGAGAGTGTATGTTAAACAGGATGATGGAATTGCAGCAGATGAGGGTCATGCTCCAGGTCTTAAGGGTCAAATCCTGTTAGAAGTAAGAGGGATCAAGGCTTTAGCAAGGCGCTGCCTTTTTTACTGCTGCAATATTCACTGACAGTGTGCAAGAGGGGCTCTGTGAGTGTGTGACAGACATTTGGAAAGAAAGTGTGTGTGGCTGTAGAGTGGCTTAAAACTGCTTAGTTTGATTTGGTTGAACTTAGTTACATATAATAAAAAAAAACTGCGGTAGAAGAGACAAGAAAATGACAGGTTGTGTGAGTGTAAGATAAAAGAATAACCAGAAGAAAATAGTGCATCAAACTTCGATACTTTCATGGACCGACTGAATTTGTTGGTTTGATACAATTGAGGATTGAAAAATGTTTTGTCATTCAATACCTAAGGAGTAAATGAGTAAATCTCATCAGCGTCAGTGAGTCAATAAGCACCAAGATCCACAGATTGGCTGTTTATTTACACACATATGTTTGAGTGAGTAAAGAGACCGAACTTAAAAATACAAGTAAAACTAAAATTTGGGCCGTAGTGTGTATTGTAATTTTCTTTTTGTTAAAATGGATTTCATTAAACTGGTATTGGAAAAAGTATTGGTAAGAATCGTCAAAGGTATTGGAATCAGTCCCGGGATCGAAAGTTTTTGAACGATACCCAGCCCTAGTAGCAAAATACCCCTTAACATAGGCTTCGCTCCCTGAATGAGCACCGTATGTACACATTATATATCAAACCCAAGACTGTTTTTGGAAACATCGAAATATTCTTGGTGTCTTGAGCATCATTTTATAGAAATTTCCTGAAATTTTAAACTTCACGCTTTTGGTATCTACCGAAATGTTCTATCTCGAGTAGAATTTAAAATAAAATTTTGTAGGTTTGAGCGATGTTTGAGGAAACAACATGAGTTTGTATTGGCTGACACTGTTGGGCTGCTTCACATGCATTGTGGCAAATTATAAGAAGATTAATGGATGACACGGGACCAAACATCATCAAAAAGGTTGAAGACGTGGACTAAGTTGCACCAGCTTTTCATAAATCCATAACTGAGTTTGAATGTACTGTAAAGTCCTCCCTATTCTCTTAGTGACTCCCAGCTAGTTTGCAGCATTAAAACGTAAAGAATGTCTCGGCAAGTAAAGACTTCAATAATGTGTAAATGGGTGTGTAGTCAAGAGTAATCAACATTGTAAACAGGAAGTGATTGTTGCATCACAAGGTAGCATAATGTCCAAAAATTTAAGTATTAGAGACACAAATTATATATCTTTTATGAATGTAGATATGACTTTGTGAAATATGTGTTTCTGAGTAAGTAGAATTCATACATTTGAATAAGAGAGAAACATCCAATTACAATAACCAAACTGATGCTGTCATTGACAAAATGTTTCATAATTTAAGGTATGATGACATCTATTTAACATCTTCATTGTTTACATCACAATTAGACAGCATTAAATTTTCAGGTCAGATATGTCGACGATATTGCAATTCATCTCTCATCTCTCTTACTTTTCACTTAAACATGAGCAAGATGTGAGCATAGTTTCACCAGACAGACTCGACATTAGCTTTCTTTGAGCTGCAATAAGTCTTAAAAATGGTTGAATTGCTTTAAAAACACAATCAAAACAGAGCACTTATTTAAGTAATATCATGCAAATAAATCTAACGAATCATACTTATATTAACCTGGAGATTTGGGATAATTCCACAGTATAGTCTGCAGACTTGAGCTGGAATCGTATCATGGTTACATCTCACACAGTTGTTTCAAATCACCCCATCAGGAGATATTTGGGGTTCAATGTCTTGCTGAAGGACACTTAAACATATGGCCACAATTAATGGGCAACCTGTTCCATCTGAGATTCAAACGCCTCATAAAGTAATGACATGATGATTTTGTGTTATCATTTCAATAAATCCTGTTGTCCAAATTACTGATTCACAGCAAATGTTAATTAAAAACTAAGTCGTTTAGTTGTCAGACAACTCTGTGGATCACACTAACACTGAGTATTGATTTGATTATTGAATGTATGTTCGGCCTAGATTTCTCATTTTGTGATATAAAGCAAAAATCACTAATATGATAATGGGAAACAGAGATTATGTACAGTTTGTTTGTGAGAGGTTTGAGAAAATAAATATATAAATTACAAAGAACTAGAAGTAATAAAGAGAAAACATTATTAATATTATAATTTCAACCTTATTGTTAAGCTCTAATCAAACCTCACTTTATTTATTCACTTTATTTATTCACCAAATTTCCCTCTGAAATTTAGCCTCAAAATCATTCATAGCATCCAAAGTAAAAGCAGCTTTGTCAAATGTCTGTGACGCAAAAGCCATTACCAGTCACGTACTGGATTTATTGTTTCGCTGCCTTTTCAATGGTGTTAAAAAAGCAATTCTCATCAAAAAGAGCATGTTTCCTAATGGCTGGATTAGTGAAATTGTAATGAGCGAAAGGATTCTCAACCGTGAAGTGATCGGCAAAAAGCATTGTCTGCAGCAACAACAATCTTACAGTACACTAGATACTGTACTTGGCAGTTGTACAAGGCAAAATAAATGTAGTTGTGACAGTCATGATCCAAGACAGACAAAGACAGAGATTTATACTATATGAAATTTCCTGTCTCCTTCCTGCCTTATACCATCTGAAGAGTCCCACATCGAATGGAATTGTCATTGATGTATCTCACGAGGGAAAACCATCAAGATGGCAAAGAGAACGAAAACGGAGAGCAGAGGCAGCAACGCTCCCTACGGAGGTAAAGCAGTACAATATCATGAATGAAAAAATAAGGAAATAAAATGATAATAAAATGGACCTGACGCATGTTGAGTAGGATTGTGTGTCCATGTGAGAAAGAGGCTGAGTGTGTGTTGTGTTACACAATGAAAGCAGGCAAATGCCCTCTCACCTAAAACCAGGAGGTTATAGGACCAATTGTCTTCCTCGCTTTTTTTTTTTTTCCCCCTTTTCCCCTTCACTCAGCCTCCCTGCTTTGTGCTGCTCTCCAGGGAGCTGTGGTTTCTGAAAGGTTTCTCAGTGTCCTTAATCCCTCCATCTCTTTGTGTCCAGGCAAAAAATATATCCGCATGAAACTCAAGAGGCCGACAGGGGCCAAGTCGTGTGAGAGGAGCTGCTGCTTAAAACTGTGAAGGTAGAAACTAATTTGGCTTCTTTTTAAAGAACAGCACAATGCTTCAAATTAGTGGTTACTTAAACTGGAGTCTTTCGGGTTCAGCAAAAACAGGAATGGCTTGATTTCTCTCATTTTAATAGCTACAAATTACACGAATTAAGAGAGTGGATGCCGGCTTTAATCACTGCTCAGTTGCCAACATTATAAAATCAAAAATATAAACTATCACAGATGGGGGTATGTTAATTGGAGGGGTATGTGGAAAGATTGTACAGTAGCTCAACTAATTTGAAAGATAACATATATTCACATATTTAAATTTTTTAATTTAAAAGGCAATTTAGTCCAAGGCAACGTATAAATGAGGTACAGATTGGTGTGATGCGCATCTTTCATATATTTACGATAACCAATAACCAAAAATAACCAATAACCCGAGTCAGCTTTAACATATCAATACCACATGCTGCGATCAATAGTGTGTAAAAACGAGTTAGTAGCAAGCAGAGAAGACAAAATAGCTTAAAGTAGTGTCTAAAATGTTGAATTAGCCAAGAGTAATGGATAACTGTTGAAACAGTCAACCAAATGTATGGATAGTTGATTGATGACTCTTGCTAACCAAGAGTCATCAATATACTGATATAATTATAATAATTAAGCTAGCTAAAAGCAATGAATACATGATAAGTTGGCTAAAAACAATAGGTAGCTACATGGTGGAAATGGTTAGTTCAGAGTAATGGAGAAACAGTTAAAATAGCTAAAGAATAAATGGTTGAAATGATTAGCTAAGATACATTACAACTAGCTGTAACCAAGTGGCAACCCTTAGCCATAAGTAATGGATAATTGGTTGAAATAGTTAGGCTAGCTAAAAGTAAGAGATAAATAATTGCAATGGTTAAGATACATTTTTTGAACTAGTTGAAACTGTTATTAATAGATAAATGGTTCAAATAGTTTACTAAGAGTAATGGTAAAAAGCTAAAAAGTTAGCTGGTAACATAAATCAGTTAAATAGTTTTGGACAGTAGGAATAGTTAGGCTAGCTAAAAGGGATAAATAGTCGAAATGGTTAGCTAAAAATAATGGATTAAATCGTTAGAATAGATAATTGAATTAGCCAAATGCAATGAGCAATCGAAATAGATAAAAGTATAGGATAAATGGTTGAAATAGGGAAGGATAGAAAGAGTTAAGAAGTAATGCTAGTAGTGCTAATGCAAACTTGACAAAACCCATCTAAACACTGAGATTTCAACAAATAATTTTAAGTTAACATCAATTCAAAGCACTGGAAGAACAGAAACATGGCAGTGATGTCATTTACGGCCGTGTGTATAGGTCACACAAAAAGGTTGGAGAGCCACTGGATTACACATCCAACCTCAGTTTGGTACAGGTGCTGGACAAAGCAGCATTTAAAGTATGGAAAAGAAAGGTGGTGCCAACACTGAATAGTGCAAATTCCCATAATATTTATGATTCAACATTGATGATTGACCTTGGAGATCTTAGTCAGGCATGTTTTCTTTGAAACGCTGCATCATAAAACTCATAAATCATACATTTTTTCATGTGGCATCTTTCAAGTAGACAAGTTCCTTGGTTGACATTTGGAATGACAGCAAGTTTGGAAATAATAAAATAGAAAAATAAATGAAATGTACCGGCATTCATGGCTTTATCAGATCCTGTGTGTCGTTCAAAAAAATCAGATATGAACTCGCATCAGCTGTTTTGTACATCATCATGTCTTTATTTGTGTGTAAACAAACTCTGAAAAGAGCATTAGCCAGGTTCTTTATCATTGGCATTAACATGATTGATTTCTTTTGCAGTCATGGATAAAACATGATCACTCCACTGCAAAAAAGGTCTTTTTTTTAAACAAGTCATATCACCTTAATTCTGTCCTATAATCTTATCTTTTCTAGTTGTTTCCAACAGTCTAAAAAAAAATTATGCTCTAAACATCACTTGCAGAAACTGGCAGATCATTGTACTGATTTCAAATAAGAAAAAAAAATGCCCTTGGACCAGTCTTGAAAAAAGTGAAATAATCCCACTCCACAACAGACTTTTTCCACAACAAATAAGATTTAAGGACTTAATAAAATGACATAACTGTTAAAGTAGCCCTTTTTTGCAACGTGCATAATAAATAATATGACACTTCCATATGAACTGTCCGCGACCTCAGTTCAGTCTAGCAGGGTAACTTCATCTCATCTTACTTGGTGTATGCAGTGTTTCTCACTACTGTTTAAGGTGCTGGGTGTGTGTTTGTGTGTGTGAGAGAGATAGAAATGTCATTGCTTGGGAATGTGATTCGGTCGTAAATGTTGTTGGTGTGTGTATGTTGATGTGCTTGTGTTTGTGGTTAAGATTTGGACACGACCAGGTGTCCAGAGGCTTATTAGGTTAGTAGTTCATCAAATCATTAAATATGTAACAGGTGAAGAGTTGCAAAAATAACCTTCTTAAAAATAAACAAAACATCCGCAGCGATCACAGCAGTAGTGTTAAGCCCGGAGTGCAACATAATTCACTTAGTCACTTCCAATGTACATCAACAACAAATATATTTACAATCAAACAAAAATACATAATTCATAACATAAGAAATGCCACCACATTCAGAAGCACAGACAAGTCATTATGGGACTTACACTGAGTGAGAATGTAACATGTAGTGTGTGTTTGTGTTTGTTACTGACCTATTCTGACTGATATCAAGCTTTGAGTTGAGAGGGTGGAGCTTTCCTCTTTCACAAATATTCAAATGGCCTTGAGGCGAAAGCACCATCTGCAACTAACAAAGTAGAAAGCTCAGGATCAGCCTCCATCTTCAGTGACATTAAAAGTCATATTTTCACCATGAATGGTCCCAAATGCAATGAAAAGGCTGACAGAGTTGAGCAATATGGTCTTTTCCGGCCAATTACATGATCTTATTTGAGCGATGATGCATTTAGATACATCCCAACATTTTAGGATTGGTATCAGAAGCTACAAATGCCTCAAGTACTGTATTTTTTAGCTTAGTGTTTTCACATATTCAACCTCTGCTAGCAAGCACATACAGACAGGTCTGAAAATTCTGTTCTTAGCCTTCTCCCGAGGATGAAAACGTACAATTAATGCCAGAGAGCAAATCTAAAACACTCCTTATACTCACAGGGGTTTTGTGGGTATGAGAAGGCAGATATCGATGTCTAAAAGCCAATAGCTCGTAGTGTTTTCGTTTCATGTTTTGGTCTGTTTCGGAAAGCCGAGCAGAATAAAATGAACTCGGGTCAAACCTTCTAGACATATGTAATAAAGTAAACCCGTCTCTTGGATTTCAGAGGAAGGGCTTTGCCACACGTTGGCGTTCATATCAACTGAATTTATGTGATAGAAGTTTTTATTTAGATATACTTTAAAAATGAAGTTTTAAAGTAACCTTGTTGCTATAGTTTGGATCAAAGAAAAGGAGCTGGAGATTGGGTACCACTCTTATAGGAGCAGGACAAATTATCCAACTTTTACACAAAGTGGCATGCATGTCATTTTTTCCAACAGTATGGAGAAAATGTGTTCACCAGACATCTTTGAAGAGAGAGGCTGGGATGTCTTTGACAAACTGGTTTCTGAGCTGTTGCAACTCTAAAAGAGCATCCTGCTTTTGTTGTGTACAGCTATCCATTCATGTGGTTGTGGATGTCTGCGTGTGTGTGTGTGTGTGTGTGTGTGTGTGTGTGTGTGTGTGTGTGTGTGTGTGTGTGTGTGTGTGTGTGTGTTTTGAATCCTTCTATCACACCTCCTTTTAAGGCTTTCAAGCTGCTTTGGATCAAAGTCAGTCCCAGGGGATAATTCAGCATAAACACCGAGTTCAGACACATCATAGCCTACCTTCACATACTGCTGAATTCAATTTTTCAGACACATTTCAGCACCTACTTGATCTTTCGATTCACAAAAGGAGGCTGATGTCCCTCCAGTCACTCCAGTCATCTTCTACTGGCATCGATTTTTTTTTTTAGCTTCATCTGACTTCATCGCCGCTTTCACAAAATAATTTGTTTCTCTGTTTAAAAAATGTTAAATGCTGGAATACTAATGTCAAATTAGGACTGAAAAGGGACAGTCCCCTCCAAAAAAAAAAAAAACAAGGGCTATATTCACATCTAAGACGTAACTTGAAGCCCTCGTCTCAGAAGTTCAGAGAGTGCAACAGATGTGCCACAGACTAAAGCCAAAATTTATAAACAACAACAAAGGGGGAAAGAGAAGAAGAAAAAGTGTTAAAAATGTTAAAATGAACCCCACACTGGCCATGAGATTAGAATAGATTAACAGTACATTAGGCTATACGCATCATCATAGTTATCTTTAGATATATAGCAGTCGCAGCCACCGCCATCCAGTTTTAGAAACACGTTTGACTAAAAGGGAAGGAACAGGAGGAGGAGGAGAACCTTTTCTTTCTGGAGTTGGGTTTAAATAAATATTCTGTTGTTTTTGTGTGTGTTTTTTTTTTTTCTTTTTTTTGAGCCATCTTTCCTCCTGCCTGGTGGGTTGAGAAGAAGGGTGCCGCAGAGTTGAAAGGGACTCTATGTGAAGTTCTGGAGGGGCTGGCTGACCCTCATGCAGGCCCAGTAGAAGGCCCGAGCCAGGGTGACGAGAACCAGGAGCAGCAGCACTGCCCACGAGGCGTAGATCCCCTGGTAGGTCTGAGCCTTCACCCACGTTCCAGCCTGAAGAGACGCGGCGACACAAAGAGGAAGTTTTTAGGAATTCAGATGATGCTCATAAAGCCATTCAAGGGAATTGCAAGCACATTCTGAGTGTGTTACGGTGATTATAATGATCCAGCTCAAGTCTAGTCAGGCTAAACGAAAGCAACCAGAGAGCTAAAGCTATAATCATGTTTGAAAATGTTTTCTACATTTATTATCTGACCCATTTATGATGTTTTAAATGGCACCAAATTCCAGCCAAGTATCCAGCGATTTCCACAGAGTAAAGATGAACAAGCATGGTCACTGGTCAGCATTACAATAATGCTTACTCCTATTAGGGCTGCAAATAATGCTTATTTGTATTTATTGATTAATCTGTTGATTATTTTCTCAGGGTTATAAGTCACCAAAAGTATGTGAAGCCCAAGGTGATGATATCAAATGTCTTGTTTTATCCAGACAAGACAGATAATCAATTCAATATATTGTAAGAAAAGATAAGGCAGCAGATTCCAACATGTGAGAAGCTGAAACAATCAAATTCTTTAGCACTTCTGCCTTAAAACTGATTAAATGATTATTCAATTAGCAAAACAGTTCCTGATTAATTTTCATTTGATTGACTAATTGTTCCAGCTCTAAATCCAACACAAATCCACTTCACAAGAACGTCACAAAGACAGCAACACAGACAAAACACTGAGTTCAGTTTATGTATCTATAGTGAGCGATTAACCCACATGAACCATACTAATGCAATGACATTGAATTGTAGGGCTTCAAATGCACAATTTTTCATGGAGGAGCTCATATTCAACACTGAAGAATGAAGAGAGAGCGGTAAGAGAGAAAATGGCTTTCCCATCAAGTATTAAGTGTGCAGCTGCTCAGAAGAAAATTATTTAATGAAGATGGCAAAAATGACTTTGAGAGAACCCATAGGGATTTTCTGAGAATATGGAAATATGAATTTGAACGGTTTCAAAGTCACAGCATGAGAGCAAAGCTAATATGGATATAAAAAGTCAAAAAAAATTTAATGAACAATGATTTAAGAAGCATTTTGTCCAACATATTGTTGTACTGCTCATTCCTGTAATAAATAATATTCTCTCCTGTTTTGACACCCTATAGGACTATAGGGAGATAAGGTTTTGGGTTTCAAAAGATATTGGAAACACTTCTGCTCTGTGTTGACATGATTACATCACATCACTTCTGCAGATTCAAGTTGCCAATCTCCTGTTCTACCACATCCCAAAGGTGTTCTACTGGACTCACATCTGGTGACTGGGGCGGCCACTGAAGTTCACTGAACTCAGGTTTGAGACCAGTTTGAGACAATTTTTCTTTGTGACATGGTGCAATATCCTGCTGGAAGCAGCCATTAGAAGATGGTAAACTGTGGCCATAAAGTGATACACATGGTCAGCAACAATACTCCGATACTGGATGTGGCATTCAAGCCGTGATTGATTGGTATTGAAGGGCCCGAGTGAGCCGAGAAAACATTCCCCACATCATTACACCAGCAGCCTGGACTACTGACACAAGGCAGGTTGGGTGCATGGATTCATGGATCCTCACTTACATAAGAAAAGAGGAGAAAAAAAATGAAACACACTGAACTACAATCTATATTAAATGATTATTTCACTTGTCAATTTGACCTTGTACAACCGTTTTCTCCTCAAGGCCGGGTCTTATTTTCCCTCTGTGTTTCTGCCTCCTCTAAAAGGTTAAGACGTCCAAATTATTTAGTTATTTAGTTGTTGGCCTCATTTTCAATCCATTTACTCCAGACTCTTGGGAATTCTGTCTTGTGATTTCTGATTGTAGAGGTTATTCTTTCCATTTCTAATATGCATTTACTTTTGACTTCAATTTTTAAATAAAGCTGGAGCAGGTTGTTTCATTGCTGCAATTCTAAGTATCCTGGAAAGGTATTTGTCCATTTCTAAAATGATGTCTGATGGACATATGACTAAAAGTAACACATTCTGTTCAATTTTAATTATTTTGAAATTAGTTACCAGGATATTTTAAGAAGTGGGCAGTAAAAGAAAACGTGTGAGTGATTCATATTCTTCTTAGCAGATACTTCTCCAACAGTCCAACTGAATAGATTTTGTAAATTTGGACGGCATTGTGCTACACTCATTTCTTAACTACCTTCATTTAAAAATCACTGCTTTTGTATTTATAATTAAATTCTGTCTGGAAATGAAGTTTCATCTGTTACTTGTCTCGGGATCTTGCTGTTAAAGTTTATTGATGCAGTGCACACCTCTAAGGATTAAACTGTCAAAACACCTGCTCTTGAACCATTCTTATAATTAAAACTGCCTTTTTAAGTCATGTTGTGACATTTATTGCCACCACACCACCATTATGCAACGCTGTCAATACAGCATATTTATTGTCTGCGCATTGTTTACTGTTCTCCATGCTGGCAGGCACTATGCCTCTTGTGTTGAATGAGTCTTTACTGATTTACGCCATTTGGTGCTCATCTTGCACCCTCTGCTGTTCATGAGGCAGAATGTGCCGACTATCCAGTTCTTTCTATGTGTCCGTGTTTATTTTTAGACGTTTGCTCATTTACTCCCTCTTGTCAACAAAACTGATCGACTGTATAATTTGACAATATTCTACTGTTGCACTCTCATTCGAAACATTTAAACAAGAGCAACAACTGAAACAGAAAATAGAAAATGCATTGTGAGCCTTGACAGCTTGTGTGCAGATCAAAGTGAGTAAAAGAAGAAAACATGGAAAAACTGAAGGTCATTCTGTTCTGCTGTTCAGTGGGTGTTGAAGCTGGTGTTGCAGCCTGAACACTGCTTATAGTAGGCTGTTTGTGCTGTATCTCACTGACAAATAGAGGCCTGTTGCATAGTGTCTGGGAAGCTGCTGCAAGGTGCACATCCTCCATGTTAAACAAGTGACAACAAAGGGAGAGGCTGTAAATGCATTTCTGCTGCAATGAAAGGTTTTCACATTGTAAAGAAAAAAAGGAGGACAGGTTTAGAGAAGATGGGATAATAGTTTAACAGTGTTCAGCTATTGATAATCTTTTTTTAACAATGAACAGGTCTAAGTCTCTTGGATGTTAGAGTGGCATCCACTCACCATCAGCCCGGCGGTGGAAATGCTAAATAGCAAGCAGAGTAGAAAACACCACAAGCTCCGCCTCCGGGGATACCTCTGACCAATGGAGGAGCTTCAGGTCCAACAGAGAAGAGAAAAGCAGACATTTAGTTTACAAGGAAACGGAATCAAATGCAACACAAGTTACGAAAAGCAGAGGCATTATTAAGTGTCTCAGTAAAACATGACAGCATGACAGTGAAGCAGCATGAACAATACCTGGACCCTGAAATCGATGCAGCTGAATGGAATTCAGCCTCCATTCATTTTATTATTTAAATGATGTTCATACTGTTACATGTTAACATGTCTTCTGTCCTATTAAATAATAACAATGGGGCTTAAAATTAATTTGCCTTTTTTTAAGCATAATGAAAGAAATACGCATAAAGGATAATAATGATGCACCTGCAGAAATTTTACTTCAAGCAGCACCTGTCCAGATTCACTCCAGGTTTTGGGGCCATTTTGGATGTAACAAACTGAAATCTCATGACCAGAGCTGTTTATGAAGATTGGTAAGGCACACTTGTGTGTCACAGTAATACAACTAACACACTGGCAGAACTCTTATGCACCTTATGAAGCTAAATGCTGAGAAAGAAGGAACAAGGCAACGAGTTGCTCTACATGCCTGATAGATTGAGGAAAAATCCCTGTAATGAAAACTTTAAATTTTGAAGACATGTGTCCTCACTTTTCAAAATGTTTTTATCCAGTATTCTGCATTAGTTCATAAACAAATCATCATTAGAAATCACCAATAACACTATACTATGAAATTGTAATATTGCAGATATTTTAAATACGCAATAAATAATGGCTTATTAAGATTTGATTATGCATCAGATCTGGTTATGCCTGATAAGTCCCATACACTTTACTGACCATGTTAAGAAGCTTATGGAGCTAGTGATATAGGAATGTGGTTAGTAGCCAGGTTCAAAGAAAATCCTGAGGCACCAAAACACACATGGAGTAAAATCCCACAGATCAGCGACCTCATGATGTTATGAGACACGTGTAAGCACACTGTGGCTGCTGGGAAATATGTGGTGTAGCAGCTGAGGTTAGAGACAAAGTCGCATAAACAGGATACCACAGGTTTGATTCTCAGAAAAACACAGTTTGTCTTCTGTCCTTGAGAAAGTCTCTGGAGCCCCTTCCTGCTCACTGTTTGTTAGGTTTCTCTGAACAAAAGCTTCAGCTGAAGACATAAATCAAAAATGTAAACGTACAGTGAGAATGAGGTGGTGTAATGGATGAATTGCTTATAAGTACTTACACTTTCCTGCAGTGTGGGCACCTGGCCAGCGTCCGGTCTGTGAACTCTGTCCACTGAAAGCACAAGGAGAAAGAGGTTCAGCCACAAACCAAGAGACAGGTTTGTCAAATTATCAATTATAGTGATGACAGAACGCTATGTGCCAGAAAAACATTCACTGTCATTGTCAATACCACTGTTTTTGCTGGTGCTAACACTTCACTCATGGATGCACAATCAGAAAAACATTATTGTCTATCAAAAGGCAATTTAAATTTGTCCTTGACATTGCTCACAATAAAAACATAGAGCTAAAAATTAATCGGGGAAGATAGATAAGGTAAATATGGTTGTGCAGGAAATAGAAAAGAGGAAATATGTGCAGGTGTCAGAGTGCGGCGTCCTTCACTGCTTGTTTATAATGTGTTAATGGCAGTTGGAATGAAGGATTTTTTTCAATGTGTTTGTCCTGGCCAGAAGGTTTTTATATTAGTGACCTGACTGGAGGAGCTGGAGTGAGTTATGGAGGGGGTGTGAAGGGGATGATGAGTTGTTTGCCATCCAACTGGCTGGATGCAGAGAAACCTGTATATTGCATATTGCAAGATTATAATATTGGCAATACTGTTCACCTGACATTCGTGCCAATTGAATTCATTATCTTTAGAGACTATAAAATGTCAATAGAGTAAATAATGCCTATCGCACTTTCCCTGAGTGCAAGGTGATGTCTTTTTTTCTGACCAATCATCCAAAATACAAAGATATTCACTTTGCAATTAAATTAAAAAGAGAAAAGCAATACTCCTCACATTTGCTGGAACCAGCAAATATTTGGCGTTTATGCTTGATAAATGACTTAAGTGATCAATCGATCATCAAATTGTTGATAATTTACATTTGTATAAGCAAGTTGATGCAAAACTGCACTGATGGGGCAAGCACTTCGACTGCACATACATGTACATGTCATGTGGAGGCAATACACAACCTTGGGATAGATTCCCTTACAGATGGCCTTATTCAAATATGCCTGCAGTTGCACGGATTGATGACACTTTCCACGAAATTTAATACAACCATCCCAGTTCTTGCCAACAGGTGCTGCGTGCCACATAAAAATGAGAAAAGAAAAATAGCCTTCTCTCCAGTTGTAGACATTTGTTCCCTCCCTAATGTTGGGGTGTGATACATTTGTAAAACCTGCAGAGCAGAATACACTGCCCATGTTGTATATTCTTCTCATTCTGGTAGAAACACTCTGTATGGGAAGCACAGAGAACATTATCACTAGATCTGCGACTAAAGGATCACTGCAACGCCACCCAGGGCACAGATTTGTATTTTCATTCAGCCACCCTGTCTTTAAGCAGGTAGGAAAGGTCCAGCTGAATGCTAAACACCCTGTACCATCCATCTCACCTCCTTTCACAGCTCTATTCTTCTCTTTCCCTGGCTGCGCCACCCTCCTTCCTTTCACCATATATCCAAACCATCTTTACCTGTCCCACACATTGTTATAGAGCAGTAAGTTAAAATTTTACTTCCCCTTTCGAACAAAAATGGCCAGAATATATCAGCAGGGAGTGGATAGGGTTATTGATCTAAACCAATAACTCAACATTTACTTGGCCTGGTGCAAGAATATTTTTGGCTTTTCAATAATTCACTTCTCTGGCTGGGCGACAGTACATCTCACAACAAAAACCTTGCAGGCCTAATGAAACTGTCACAAGACATTTCAACTACAGATGATAAAAGCCAAAGTAGCAAATGCCAGGGCAGTTTTATTATTCAGCTAGTCTGCATGGTAATGCAAAAAAAAGTGTTTAACTGGATCTTGGCTCTCTGTACTGTATGTGATTTTATTGGTTGTGTCTTTTTCAGGTTTATGTTATTCGAAGAGACAGAAGAGGTGGGGACTTGTGCCAGAGACTTAATAAACAGTGGTTGTACTGATGTTGTAATTCTGATTGCCATAGAGGTTGATATGGGTCATCAATTAATGTCTTTTCAAATAAAACCCATACTAGAGATGATGCAGTTAATCCTTTGAAAGTCAAATTCTTTTTTTTTTTAACTTGGAAAAGTACAGTAGTTTGCTCTTCTGAATTTTTGCAATACATCTTAAAAACATAGGAGAGGAATCCAGTGACATTTAGTGAACATAAACAGTATGTAAAGAGAACATTCATTAGATTTTGCAACAAAACTCAAAATCAAGATCTATTTACTAGCTTTTGGAGCTTGAGCTGGCTTAAGAGTGAAGCTTATTATGTGATGACACCTTAGCCTGCTCCATTTGCTGAATAAAGACTATGAGATGTGACTGAAGGCTCCAGAAGCCAGGACATGGACTATTTTATTACTTGTTCTGTACTTTGAGGTCCAGAATGAACTCTTTGCTTGAGTATTACATTCTGTTTTCAATCGAAATCTGACATTTTCACCTCTTTTTGTGTGTTTTTTTTGTTTAGTCTGAAAGCTCACGTACTAGCCAAGTGTTAAATGAGTGGGTCGATACCACTCTCATATCTGTGCAATCTGTGTAATTGATCTTCTCTTTTAACACTTGGCAAAAAAGCTAATACTCTTCCTTTAACTTTGAAACTAATATAAATTGTGAGTGTGTGTGATTCCAAATCCTGTGGGGGTGGGTATTTTTTCAACGTCACAAAGAATGAAAAGTTTAATCTGATTAAGCAGAGAGAGTGTGGTACCAGGAAGGTGTTGCTGCAGTGTCCACAGGAGACCCGGGCCCCGGCTGGCTGGGGGTCAGGACTGGCTGGACCAGGATGGACTGGACCCAAATTTATTATCCTCTTGCTGTAAAGAGACAGACCCACACAAAGTCAGCATCCACACCACAAATGGTTCAAGATATTATTCAGCATTTAAACTAACATTCACTGCCAGATGTCGTGAGCAGTCGCCTCATTATGCTGGTGTGGAAAGGCTGACGACTGATTTCACTTTTTCTGGGGGATCCATCAGCAGCCAGTCCTCTCATTACCACCAACACTGCTTTTTTCTACAACCAACCTCCTGAGACAACTCCAGTAGCTCAGGATCACTGATCAGACAGCAGCACTGAGATGTGTCTGGTTCAGTCAGCATGTCTGGATTGAATGCAAAACAGTGACACTGGAGGTAAACTCTCTAGAGCAATTTCATGCAGGAAAAGTTTCTCCACTGAGGAGTATTTACAGTCTTTTGGGATCACTTTAACAAAATGGGCAACCTATGGTCAGGTGTAATAAAACCAGGCATTGTTAAAATTTACATTAGAAACATGCAGAATCCCACCACTCAAGTATGAGAGCAAACGTTATGCCAAACAATTTCTGCATCTCTTCCACTGTTAAGGACACAGCTGATACAAATTCAGTTTACATACAGCAATCTTAAACAAAGTTAAAAAGAGATTTTTTTTTTTCTTTCTTTATTTTGTTTATTAGGTTTAAATGTGCAATAATGTCAAAGCAAATGGCTGATTACAGGGTAAATTATGGAATATTATTGTTTAAGACATTAGGACATTGATGAAATTTTTGCCTCCAATTAACATTCAAACCCTAATTAGCCTTGAGCCTAACTTGATGATCTGCACTGAAGCTGACAGATGAATTATGGATTTCAGATATTTATAACAAGAGATTTTGTAATGTACAGTTTAACATCATACATATTTAGATAGCAGCAGAAAATTAAAAAAAAAAAAAAGAGAGAAAGAAAATGGATGGCTAAAAATGTTGCTCTTGCATATTTTATGCCTTGGGCATAAACAAGGAATCTTATCTTTCTGAGCAATTACACGAGGCTGCAGCAGCATGATGTTCAGATGAGCTGCCAAAGCGGTGCATTTTCATTGACATCAGCCTTGTGTTTTTGACGATAAAAATCCCAACACAATGGCATCTCTTTGACCTGTAAAAAGTGTTCTATGGTTTTTTAATTGAACAAGTTTCCTGACAGGGAACAAGAGAAACTTTCCCCTCCCAAACTGTATTTGAAGTGTCAGCATCCCTGTAATGTTTTCTTTAAGCCTTGCAATATAAAGAATTGCAACACAAGTGACATTTAGTGTAATTTGTGGAACTTTCCCAGTTTACTTTCAACTGCTTTTGTTCTAAAGAGGGTTCTGTGCTGATTCAGCCCTCTGATATTACTGTACAATATGAATGAATTTGCTAAGTGTGCATTTGGTTGGTATCTACTCTGTGGGAGTTTAAAGCAGATACATGCTGAATAAATTTTGTGATGTTTTTTCTAGCTGCCATGTGTAGACTGTAAATTAAATCTATACATAATCTCCATCCCTGACTAAAATATGGCCTACAAAAATTCACAATACATACAGTACATTACCCATACAGACACACCTCAAATACTGAGGACATGCAGAAGTGAAACCCATGATGTGGCTCTTCTAATGAGGCTGTTATTTCCTCATCCGGCTCGCTGAGCACCGCATGTAAACTGCGCTGGGAGCACAGCCTTAATTGAGGAACCGCTGCTCCCACTGCACCTTGTTTCCTCTGCTTCACTTCTCTCTCACACAGATACACAGTGTTCTTTCAGTCTCACAGTGGTGTGCGCACAAACACACACACAGAAATCATCTCTTACCAGTATGGCCGGGGACAGGCGATCCTCTGGGAAGTGACTTTGCAGATGAGCAGACAGTTGCAGGGGCAGCGAACGTACTTCTTCCCTGCTGGGGCATTCTTAATGGGCTGCAGAGGGAGACAGAGGCACACGGGAGGGGAGAAGATAGTAGAACAACGAATTAGAATAGGAGCAGATAACAACCCAATTATTCTTGATGGACGAGAATTAACCAATACTACGAGAGGAAGAGAGGTATTCTGAGAGATATTGGAAATGGCTGTGCAGTAGTTGTAGTTAAGGAGCCGAGGGACGGCATTACAGTAAAGTAATACTTATGGTGCCGCTTGTTGCTCTACAAATGACATAAAAGACATAATTATACAGCTCTTGAGTAATTAATAGGCAAGGTAAGATTTTAACTCAAACATGCATGAAGCACTCGCTCCATGTATTCAAAGCTGCATACTGTGAGGAAAAAGGGCAGCTCGAGGCCATCTCCAAAGCAACAGGTCTGTCTAGCACTTAATATTAATATTAATAATACTGAGGGAATTTAATATGAATAATGCAGAGGGAAATACAGACAGAGGCTTCAAAAATATTTAGGCCACAAACTTGCATTTGATAAGGAACTGTTCCAGAGACTTGCATATTTAAAGATTGTTGTTGCTGTTTGTAATTGTGTTCAAAATTCTTAAGTCTTATGTCTAATTATACAATTATACTCTTTATAAATTAAGTAAGTACAAAGCATTATGATTGCTGGAGCTGCTCACCTTGTATCAACTCACTAGGTCACATAATACTGCAAGGCAGTTATAAAGGCCATTGCTTGAGGTCACCAAGAGAATGGAAATTTGAATCTGTGCTTTACCACTATATGAATCACACACCTTCCTCTGGGCTTAAGATAACATCCTGCTGTCAGACCACTGTCTGTCCTGCTCATGGTTCTCTCCACAGCATCATTAAACTCTTACTAACTAGACTGAGACCCGGTGTTTTCGGCTCCATTATCAATTTCAGATGCAAAGTTATATCAACCATGTAAGGAAGGAGATAATGGTGAGGATTAATTTCCAACTTGGTGGAACCTGATAGACTGCTGATCTTTATAATTAAATTCATAGAAGTTTTTCATGATGTTTAAACTCTATCTATACACACTATATCTAAAAGGGTTGGTTAAACTACAAAAAAGTTTAATTGGAACAACTTTCTACTGAAGTATATTCTGATAGGGATTATAGGGACCATTAGTGACCTTATTGTAAACTCTGTGGATTATCCAAAGTAATGGAAAGAGATTCTGTTGATTTGTTTTTTTAAAATGTCATTTTCCTTTGCTTTGCATACCATACATTATGTCATTTTTAACAAGATGGAGGTAGAAATCTCAGAGATGCTTATTGGAAAACCCGGGCAAATAAAAAAAAAAAAAGAAACACTCCCCCTAAGGCTAGACATCACTTGAAGTCTATGAGAAAATGTTTTTGTAATTTTGTGAAACAACCCTTTAACAGAAGATACTGGTGTTACATCTGAGTGTACACATTCCTCTAGAAACTTACCGTAGCTTCATTGCAGACCCCACATTTCACCACATGTTGGTGGATCTTGCCCTCCACAGAGATCAAGCTCTGACACACCCTGCAGCTGATAACAGGGGCACTGCCACTTTCCGGGGAGGTGAGCGGTGAGTAAGGAGGAGGATCCTCCCCTAGGAGCACTGAGGGCTGAGTTGGGCTGGGGAATGGAGGGAAGCCTGGATGGGGGGAGACAAGGAAGGGAAAGAATGATGAATACAATAGTAGTAGGAGCAGTGACAAATGAATGATTGTTGAGGAAACTTGGTCACAAGAGTTGCCTCAATTCCCATGACTAGTAACCTCTTACGTTACAGTTAACAAGGTAATAAGATTTTGTCTTGAGTTCAACTGAAAGGAGCTTTAGAAGAAAAACACTCCAAGAATGCTGAGTGGGGTCAGTTTCAACAAATAAATAGTTTGTCTGAGAAAAAGAGAAAAGCAGCGAAAGTAAGTGTAACTAAATGGAACAGACTTCTATCTAGAAATCTGATGCAACAAACAGCATTTCCTACTCTGCTCAAAGCATATCTGGCAAGCAGAGTGAACGAATGTTTAGAGCAGTTTGTGAGAGCAAAACATAATTATAAGCCTTATCTCATGCCTTTTCCATTAATGTCTTCAGACACAGTTCCTCCCTATGAGAGCTGCCATTGGTCATAGCTGTATCTTGCAGCATCCATGAGCAGCCCCAGTAATGGCTTTCTTGTATGTCAATCAGATCAGGTGTTTCTCAGATGCTAGCTAGCTCAGCGGTACATGTACCTAGCTTGTGTGTACAGTGAGCACCACTCAGCTGCTGAAATACATGCAAAAATCTCTTAGCAGACGTATATAAAATATAATTTATTAAGATTATAATGGCAGTATTACTGAACTGCAAAACTGAAGCTTTGCCGGTGCTAAGTAGAGCTAGCTGTCAAGCTAATAAACCGGTTGCTAGGTTAGCTAGCTAGTTAGCATAACGCTGATTCCCTTCAGCCTCTGCTACATTATTATTGCAAAACAGTATATTTTACCCCTCAAGGGGTGCTCATAAAGAAATACTCCTGAACCTAACATTATATCCTGCACATACACAGTCACAACAGGCCGGTTCTTTGTCGCTGTCACAGCTGAGCTAGCAGGCTAACCAGAATGCCCAGTCAGTGGAGGCTAACGTCGGCTAGGTTAATTCAGGCTGGAGTCGGGCGGAGGAGAGCGCACCATGGATACTCACTCTGTGGTTTGTTGGGCACACCGTAGGGCGCTGCGCCGGGAGACACCCCGCCGTTACCGCTGCCAAGAGCACCATCTCCCAGATCTGATAGTAACGGGGACCTCTCGCCGTCCGCCATACCGAGAGCGAGGCGTAAGGAGGGGGGGAGACAGTGGGAGCGTGAATGCAGACCGATACGGTGTTGTATTGTTGTGTCGGAAATGCAGGCGTCACATGATCACACCACCGCTGCTGCTGCTGCTGCGGTAACGGTGCTCGGGGGTGTGGCACTTACTGCACACCCAGGGATGCTCCACAAGTTCCCCTTAATATGTGTTAATAGGTTCAATTACATGAGAATTATGTTTGAGTTATTTGCCAACAATGACCACTGTATTTCTGTAAGGTAGTGTTAGGCTACTTATTTTATCTTTAGCCAGAGGTGGAGAGAAAGTATTTACTAAAGTACTGTACTTACAGCACACCTGGACAAATTCGATATTTTGCTGATTTCTGAAGTGAAAAGAAGAAAATACAAAGACATACCTTTCCTCCACCCCTGCCTTAAAATAAAGTTACTCTTAAGCTAAAGTTGCTCTTTAGGTGCCCAGGATGTTTTTCAGATATCGTACTTCACATTTTAATACATATTAAAAACACAAATTCACTCCTGCAAGATGCCCAGTACAAACAAAAGTCTTTTTTTCACTTTTGCTAGGGTACAAAAGAGTTACTCAATGACTTGCTCACTTTTATACTTGTTTCAGGATTTGAAACACACACACACACACACACACACACACACACACACACACACACACACACACACACACAGACACACACCCAGGATCACTGTATGGCATATGGTTTGTAGTAAGAATAACTACTACTACTAAAGCACAACATCAATTGACATGATAACACACTAACCTCTATCAAAGCTGTCATACAAATGAAGTTTGATTTAAATTGATAATAAAAGCCAGAAGATTGGTTCATATTTTATCACCCAATCAGAAAAGGAGCCCTGTGTAAGAATCTAATCATGATATGAGTTAATATTGTGCTTGTATTGAGCATAGTCCTAAATTAGTTTGTGTTTAATTAAGTTACCACAAAGCAAATTTGGAGCTATGTATTATTCCATCCAAGGAATACTGTATATAAGAAATGGGCTCCCAGCATAATGAGTTCCATTATGTGTAGTAAGTATGGTAATGTTTATCTGGATTTACTCTGGATCTCTAGTTATAGCGCGAATAATCAGACAAATATTTATAAGAAACCCATATCTTAATACTAAGAGAATCAGTGGTGAAACATGTAATAATAGCAAGAACTGAACATTCACATTATGTGAATTTCAGGAAATAAACAGGCTTTAAACTGATCCGTTTCCAATCCCTTTTTTCCTTGACCCATAAATACGGCAGTATGTATAATCTCCACTGTTTGTGTCACATCTTTTCTGTTTCCTCTGAAGACTTGTGGCCTGTTTCATTCTTTTTTATTGCACGCTGATAAAATCCATGGAGCGGTTCAGTAGCAGAGTCACCTCCAGTTCCTCTCTCTCACTGAAGAATTGAGCCTTACCCTCGTGGCTGTGGATGGGATGCGGGAGATGGAGACCCAGTTTACTGCAGAGAGGGGAAAAGACAGGTTAAATAGATGGAGAGAGTGTAAGGGAGCGCGTGTGTCTGTGGTAACCAAGAGAGGAAGATGTTAAGAGCTGTGTGAAACAGCAATCAAAGCTCAGATCATGATGTTAAACTCTGATTAAAAGGAAATGTCTGGAAATGGGAGCTTTTGGTCTGAACTGCCGCTGCTCCGTCTTGAGGGGATTAAATATTAAAGAGAAGATTTTCAAAGCATCTCTTACTATTTTGGCGTTCGTAGATCAAGGAACTTCTCTTTTACATCCAGGACCACATCTGTTGCTTTAGTATCTGGCAGTTTGATTTTCACCTAAGAGTAGGAAAAAGTCAGCATCGTTAATATTTTACACAGTGTACATAAAACATTCTATGTTACATTTATAATAAGAGAATGTGATATTTCCACTGGTATTTTGCTATCCAAACAATTCGTTTTTCTATTTTCTTTACTTTCTATTCAATTCTAATACAGCTTAAAAAAAAGTATGAAGAACCTTGTTAAGGATGATATAGTATTAAGATGTCTTCCTTATATCCAAATTAGTGCATGGTGATAAAGTGAGATTTGTAACATTATGCTTTATCTAAATCTATACTCATTCATGCTGCTTAAGTTGGATTTTGTGTTCCTTAACATTTTTATTCTGTTTACAAATTGTGTCAGAACTTTTATACATCATAGTTGAGGCTGAAAGAGTCTTAAAAGTCTTAAAATTAATTTACTGAATCCTTCCCATATTTTGAATGATGTTATCATTCCTGGTTGTTTGTTCCTGATCGCATCTTTGTTCTTGTCATTTATCGTCATCACACTAGTATATTTTGTGGCATACAGAAATCCTGTTGAAGTTTGTTTAGTTTACGTACCAGCATGGCTTCACAGCACATGGAGGATGGGTCCTTTCCACTCAAGCCCAAGAACAGATCCTCTGTGCCCACACTCTGCTTCAGGATTATTTCATACCTGAGGACCAAAGGTTATACACACTAATGAAGGCACATACAAAAACACACAATCAGTGAAGTATTCATCTCGTTAAAATAGCTTCACATTGGGATGGAGAAAACAACAAAAAACACAAACAAATAGGCAGAGGAGGGTGTTAACTGAGGTCAATGGAGTGTGGAAAATGTTATAAGCAACTGTAATAAATAGTTTCCTACAGGCAGCTTCCCTCTTCCATTGTATTTCTATAATTAATTCTATAATATCACAATGGTAATAATGGCCAAGTGTTTATAATAATTGAATACCTGGCCAAGGTGGAACAAAGTCTTATAATGAGAAAGTTTTGTTAAACTTTACATGGGAAAGTGTGGCTTTCTGGTTTTAAGGCTTAAATATGTTCAAAAAGGTGAGGATGAGTGCTTCTCTAGCCTCAGTGGAAGGTGCAATCCCAATTAGAAACCAGGTGAAAAAAAGGACTGAAGGGGGCCCATCTGTGTTTCCCAGTGTTTGACTCCTTTAGCAGTGAACCCCTCCTTTAGCAGTGTTTGTCTGTCTTACTCAGGCTGTGGCCGTGGGTCAGCCAGATCATCATACTGGGAACCCTCAGCCACCTCTTTCTCGCTCCAGATATCTTTGCTGTTCTTCTTCACATAGGCAGTTGACTCTAAATAAACACAAGCGCGCGCACACACACACACACACACACACACACACACACACACACAGTCTGTACCTCCTCTGTGTTACTATAATGATTTAGGAGTTATTTTTTTATCTGCAAGACATTCAAAGTATTACCTTCTTTATCTTTCTTGGGTGGGGGACCAATGTGACCAGGACCCAGCTGTCCGCAGGCTGTCGCGTTCTGTTGAGAGTAACTGATGTTAATGTAAACTAATACAGTGTTTATGCCTTAACTCAAATACACACTAATGGCATCCAGTCGTTCAGTTAGCAGTCATTATAAGGCAGTTATCAGAACACAGTAAAAGAACAAATCTAAACAAACTCATCATATAGATTTTCTCTAAAGCATGCTTGTCTTTTAATGACTCTTTATGTCTATTTGATATATATATGTACATAATGAACATTTACATATCCAGGTGGAGTGTAACATTTACTCAAGTAGCCTACATTACGCAAGTACAGTTTTGAGGTACTTTACTTGAATATTACTTTTAGCTTCTACTCCACCACATTTCAGTATCATATGTTGTAGTTTTACAGATGGTCAACTTATACAGTATGTTTAAAGCCATAGATAAAAGTCTCCAACAGCATAGGCTATAAAATAGTTAAGATTAGCTTCACCTCAACCAATGATCTTTAAATCCTTATTGTGTTAATGCGTTAGTAATAATAATCCAATAATATGATATAATAATAGAACAGTCTCAAAAGGGCTACTACTGGTACTTTTACTTTTGATTAGTAAATGTTGCTTCTTTTGCTAAAGTAAAAAACATGAGTAGCTACTCTTGTTACCAGTGAACATATCATAACGGAGTAAAATAAATGAACAGACTGACTTGAGATCAGTTCACTACTGAGAGCACAATATCTTACTCTTCTTTCTTCATCATCATCATCATCATCCTGCTGAGTTGATAACAAGGCAGACAGAGCCTGTAGGTTCTGAACAGACGATACTCCAAGACAGTCCATTCAGAAAAGCCTCCAAAAAAGCTCTTTTATCTCAGGAGGGCTACTGTACAAGTGTAGTTACTGCTAACTGAATATCAGTTACTGTTGACGCTTTCTGTTTCCCCGGAGACGACCAGGCTTCGGGCTGTCATGGGAACCAGTGACGCCACAGGAGAGAAGGAAAAAAACCCACATAATAATATAATAATAATAATAAAAAAAACAGGTACAACGTACAACTATAACGTTGTGTATTACATATAACTATTTATCTGGAAAATTGCAATCTAGGTTTCAGCTATGAGCTATGACCTATTCAAATAAAAGAAAAGACGAAATAAAACAACAAAATAAAACAAACAGCAAATTAATTAAAACTAATAGAATTTCTGTATGAATTAACATGCAAGAAGAATTTAATGCTGAAATTGGTTTGGCTATTTTATAACATGATTACCTTTTGTATTTCATCTTTAAGCTGCATTGAGTCCTTACTTATTAAATAACCTAAGTAACTAAATAATGGTAACATAGTTAATGCGTTTTTATAGTAATTTAAGTCCTTTATAAACCACACTTCTCGAATACAGTTTGATATGTCTTGCCATTGTGCTTTCAAATCATATAAAAAGGTTTTGTCAACAGTCAACTGAAAGGCGAAGTGATTATCCCCTCGAATATGCATGTCTCTCCTCGGACACCGTAGTGAATGCATGGCCCACAGGGATCATGTTGAAGGTGACAGGTATTGCAATGCCGGGGACTTTGAGTCTTTTGCCGATCACCGTCTTTGCTGGTGGTGACGAAGAAAAAGAGACAACCACCCCGTTACATCTGGATGAACTGTCTCTGTACACGGCTCCTCAGCAGAAGTCTCGGTATGTGGAGCCCGAAGCCGGTCAGCTTGAGCAGAGTGTCGCCACCCTCAGGAATGTGGTGGAGCCATACACGACTTGGTGCCAGGGCACTTACAATAAAATTAAACCCAAAGTTCAAAGTTTCGTCCAGCGTGGGAGTGACACCTACGACTACCTGAAGAACCCTCCGAAGGACTTCTACCCCCGGGCAGGAGTCATCGGCTTTACCGGTGTCCTGGGAGTACTGCTCGCCAGGGGCTCAAGGATTAAGAAACTCATCTACCCGGCCGCCCTGATGACAGTGAGCACCTCTCTCTACTACCCGGAACAGGCTGCCGCCATCGCAAAGTCAAGCGGGGACTCCGTGTATGACCGCGCCGTGCAGAGCTACGCTGCGCTGGAGAAGATGCTGAACCCCCAACGCAAAACTGAGAATGGTACCGACCCAGTACCTAAACCCTGATGACCCCTGCGACCACTCAGCAATAAGAAATCATACAGCAGCTTTTTCGTGATACTGTAGTTTGACATGAGCTACCTAGACCGGCAGTGATCTGTGTGACTTTCTCATGCCCACTTTTTGCACTAAGCTTCACGTTTCTCAGGCCGGGCATGGCCTGTCACAAGGGGTTTGCAACCTGAATGATTTACTTCTGCTTCTGATTTGAATGTATATTTATGTAGAGAATTAATAAAAATCGATTGTCTTACATTAAAATCTTTAGACATCTGTTGTTATGTACTGCCAGTTATTAGTCTTAATTCTGTCTTGAACAGTCAAGTCATGTAAATTAAGATGAATTTTAATCAACTATCTGAAACAAAAACAATTTAATATCAGTTAATTGTTCAACATTTCTTGCTTGAAAATGACTGAAACATACAGAGCATTTGCAGCTTTTACATCATAGTGAACTGAATATCTTTGATTTGGAAATTTCAGGTCAGACAAAACCAGACATGAGTAAGACAACTTGTGCTCAAGATAACTATTTATCGAAACAATTTACTTTTATGATATTTTACAGACAAAATTATTTGATTATTAGAGAAAACTATTGGTTAATTGATTGATAATTAAAGTTATCATCCACTGCAGCCCTAAAAAGCAACTTTAATCATTAGCCATTTGTGGAGACCAAGCTGTGTTATTTGTAATTACAAAATTACTGAGGACAATGCCTGGAAGGGGAAGGACCACCATATGACTGTTAAACATCTTTATTCATCTCAGCCAAAAAAAAAAAAAAAAAAAAAAAGTGTACAAAAATTAAATATGAATCACTTTAAAGAACTCCCCTCAGAGCAGCACCAACTTCTCATTTAGAGCAATCTGTGCTTGGGTCAGGTTAGATAGGTAGGTCACCATCAACAGGTCCTGCAACAAGAAAACAGAGCATTGAAATTTTGTTAATAGTCTTATTCATAGTCATGTAAAATGAGATTAAGAGTAAAACATCATGACAGTATTACAAGGAAATAAAAGTCAAGGATTACAGTCAGTAAAAGTGTCCTACAGATGTAACAACTACTCCTATATTTCTAAAACAAGTGATGTGTAAAGTAGTATGAGAAAGGGAGCCAGAAGAGAACTAACAACATAAAGCAAAGTCTAATTAAGTGCTTCCTGTAATCAATGACACCCCCCCAATGTGCTAATAACAAGCCTTAGTGCAGCACATACATGGAAGGCACGAGGAGATGCACTAAATCTAAAGAGGAAAAACAACCACCAGCAGCAGCTGAAGTCGTTTTGGAGCTGATGAAAAGAACTTACGTTGATGTTGGAATTGAGCATGTTCTCAAAGTCCTCAGCTGAGATGGTTGGCACCTTGTTGACCAAGTCCATCAGGAAACGGCCCACGCTGTTATCTGCTGTCACTTTGCCAGACTGAGACAGATTGAACACAATTATAACCATCGTTAGTGTTAAACTTAAGTACTTAACAAATGATCTCCACAGAGACGGCTGATTCATAAAAAATTAAATAGCAGGAATATGTTTTATCCTGGTTTGAGTCACACTATCATTACAATATCTTTAATGCTCACCAGCACATCTTCAATGTATGCAAGCATGGTGGTTAGCATGTCCTGTATCCTGGCTGCAGATCCAGCCACCTGGGACAGATCAGAGGTCAGCCCCTTGGTGCGATTGGGAGTTACACGTGTCCTCTGCAGAAGGTCCACTGCAACACAGATATGGGCAGTTACAGTATTACAGAGAGCAAAGAGACAGCAAATACATAGGCTAGCTAAAATATCATTAGCAATAACTTTGAGTACATTGTAGTTATGACTGAGATTGAATATTTCTATTCGCAACAAAAAAAAGGTACAATTCAAAGATCACAGCTATTTAGTCAAGAAGCATTTGTTTTCATACAGCTATCCACATTCATTCTTCATATTCTTACCGCCTATCCTCTCAGTGTCATAGTAAATATACTTGACACTCAGTGGAGTGAACATCACACCAACTGTCTTTCCTGGCACGCCCATCTGTGCACTGTGTGGAAGAAATAAACAAGCACATTCTCAGTTTTAGTTGATCACACAATCAAAGAGGTCACGATTGCAAGATCAGCCAACCTGACGTAAGCGCGGATGTTCATCTTGCCACTCTGCAGTGCTGAGTCCACAGTCAGGTGGATGGGGTTGGAGGCCTCACGGCTGTAGTACTCATGAATGAGCACCGAGTGTTCTGTGATGTCAAAACCTGTGGCATACCTGTGAGCAAACATCACTGTTGTGAAAAAAGTTTTTTTTTTTTCCCTTTCTAATTCCAACTTTGAAATTCCAAATCTGATCTACTGACGCACCAGCCGATGATGACCTCAGTGGGGGAAACCCTCTTGTGGAGCTCGTACATGTTCTTGGCGAACTCCATGTCCACAGCCACCTGTTGTCAAAGAGGATAAATTTTACACATGGCCACTTTTATACAAAACCTTTTCTCTCTTTTATAGCATTCAATATGAGGCAGCCATCTAAGTCTAAAAATGTCTACAATGTCTACAGTTAAACAATGTTCATTTTCTTCATTAATTATTATCTCTGCAACTTTACTTATATAGAATAGCTACCACTCCCTAACATGAAAGTCCCAAAGGAATATGTTTCAGTTGTGAAGGAGACCTGCGGCAATAATATAGGTATTGTTGAGGTGTTACAAAATATTTTGCAGGATAACTCATGATCTTCCAAGAAATTTTGAGATATCCAATGATAAACTTCACTTTCTTACAGCACATACAGTACTTTGCAAAAGTTTTAAGCACTTGGCACTTTAGCTGTTTAGCTTTATATCCATCACACAAGACCTTCAGGGAGGCGTTTGATCGCTCCTAAACTCATTTTGCAACACGACAACACCATCCATACAGGCAGTCATAAAGAAATATCCTCAGCAAAAAGAACAACAAGGGGTCCTGCATGACCCCCACAGCACCCCAACCTAAAGAGTCAGTCTGGGGTTACATAAAGAGACAGAAGTCACTAAAAACAGCCTAAATTGACAGAAAAACTGCAGCAAGTTGTCCAAGATGCTTGGAACAACCTGCCTGCAAAACTGTGCAAATGTAGAGTACTGTTTTTAAAGACAAAAGGGTGGTCATACCAATTATTGATATTTTTTTTTTTTTTTTTTTTTTTTTTTTTTTTTCTGCACTTTGTATAAAGTTAACTGATGACTAAATCCTGTTCTTTGAATTGTCTTCAAAAACATGCTTACTTTATTTTTAGTGCCTAATCCTTTGCACAGAACTGTATTTACCTTGTGAGGCGAGCTCCTGCCATAACAATACAACATAAAGTATGTACTTTGTAGTTCAAAAAGTGTGTAGTTTAAAAAAAGTTATGTATATTATCTAATTTCTTATCTAACTCTTCTGTCCATTCAATATTTGAGTGATGTAACGTGGCTGCTGTAGCATTACGATTATCCACTGAAGTTGATAAAATATTCTATGTGGAGATGTCCCACAGAACAATAACTGTCCATTCACCAAAAATGCGTCAACATAACATAATTCTGTGAATGAGTCCAAAAACGCACCTCGTCTTCAGACTCATTGTGGGGGACAGAGAAGCAGTTGGTCACCTCAATAGAGTGCTTGTCAATGGTACCTGAAAAGGACAAACGTTAAAAAACAGCATTAATACTTAGTCGACTTAGCACTGTTAGCTACGTAGCACCCAATAGACAGATAGATAGATAATGACGAACCACCGGCACTAGCTAACATCAACGCTAATAACAATGCTCAACCCTAGCTGCTATATGTCTTAACCGTACAGAAATAATCATAACAGGAAAGATAATCTGGCAAACTTGATTTACATAGTCAAGGTATTTATCAACATGATCATTTGAACGGACAGCCAGCTGTTACAAGTGATGCTGCGAGCTGTTTGGCTGGCTAATAGCAGCTAAGGCTAATGCCAGCATGCGTTAGCAGACAAGCTAAAATTAGCTAGCGATCCATCACCTGTCCTAACCGAAGGCCGTTGATCCAGTGGAGGACAAATATGTCAACTTTCTACTTACCCAACAGGGTTCCAATCACACGGCTCGCTCCTTCATTTCTCCGCTCGTAAGAGTCGCAGATAGAAGCGACAACGACGGGGTGAATTTTCACCACTGGCCCGTACACCGACATCTTGGAAAAGGAGGATCGATCACCGGCTCCAGGGGACATGTATACTACCTCCTAGAGGCCGGAGGGCGAACAGAGGTTATTAAATATGTTGAATTTAAGCCTAATTATAATCAAATCATTGATACCACTGATGATACAATGTAACTTATCTGAGATCAGCAGAAGTTGTTTCATTACGGAAGCTTAATGTATTCACTTGAGAAAAAAATGCTTGTCCTGTTTTTCTGAATTAATGAGATTATTATGTCAAATTTCTGAGATAATAATCTCCTCAATTCAGAAAAACAAGAACAGTTTTTTTCCCCATAAAATTTTTTTCAGAATTCTGAGATATGAATCTAATTAATTCAGAAAAAGGGCAAAAATGTATTTATCAATTCTATGCATTACGCTTCCGTATATAAGGCCTTTGCATTTCCTCATGTCTGAACTTTGTGCAGATACTGAGGGTCTGACAGTCACTCAGAGGAGGGAGACGAGCGTCCCTTCTGTTGTGGAAATGACAAGGGTCTGAGGCAGGCAGGGTTGATAGGGGCTGGGCTGATGACAGCATCCTCTGCCGCTCAGTGGCTCCACACCTGACTGACTCCATCAGATGCACAAATGATGGAGCTCTCCGCGCTGCCGGGTTATCCTGTTGCCACCATTTCGTACGTCTACTGTCCGACACATGTTCTCCAAACGCCGTAATCATTTAGACTAGAACTGTTTTTGCCGGGGTCTTTATCTTTTATGCTTGATCATTCAGTGGATGGGGTGTTCCCGTTTTTATTTACTGTGAATGCTGAGTGGTCGGATCGAGGTGGTCTTTGTTTTCGTGGAAAAAAGCGAACTGGAGTGGACTGATGCTGCGTCGCTGGTAAACACCAGAAATGGGTGTCATCGAACCAAGGTTGCAAATCCCGGTTCGTTCTTGGACCAGATTTTCATTTTTCTTATGATACAACATCTGTCCAATCGAGCTCTTATACATCTACAAGTTGCTACACTGAGCAGGTAAGATTATGTTCATTCCCAGCTGCCTGGCGTTAATCCACAATCTTAGGCTTATGGTTTTTGTAGCTTGTCGGCTGGCTAACAGACTCTCCTTAACAGAGGCTATTTCGGATCCATCCATCAGGCGTAGTGCGTCATCTTGATTGTCACCATCAGTCTCCTCTTGCGTCCATCCGCTAATTGTCCAAATGGAGGCACATCATCCAAGGCTACAGAGGGCTAGGACTCCATTTTACTGTGCAAATATTTCAGAGACACAATGTCTCACTGCCCACATACATATTTAACTCTGCTTCTTAGACTTACACTGTGGGACTTATGTAAGAAATCTCAGCAGGCCTGTAGTATAAATCCACTACATTTAACATAGCAGTAAGCGCACTTACACAACACACACATACACATGCATGGGCCACACACACCAACCCCAAGGCATACATGCAAAAGAGTGAAAGTGACTCTAATGTGTATATACCACATTCTGCTCCAGGATTAGTATATCTCTGTCTTGCATATTTATGCTCCATTCTTCCTGTCTAATTCTAACAGTTAGAAAACTATGTAAGATCAACCTCAAAACTGTGATCTCCTTTTTCATGTTGTTCTCAGTTTGTTTTTAAAAGGGGTGAAATGATGAAACAGTCAGAGACAGGAAGCCAAATCTGCATGGCAAGCAACATATAGGCTTTGTTAATGTGTTAAAGAAAAACTTGAGAGAAATTAAAGGGACATAGGAGCTGAAAAGCACCTGAAGTAGGTTCTGTTTCTTTTTAAAAATCGTTTGTCAGTGAATAACTGTGACTGAAAAACAGCTAATCAATTTCATGACTGCATTCGATAATCGTGTTCTTCTCTATTCTAGGCTTCAGTCAAGCAAACAAATGTTCCAATCAATAGCCACTGGACAGAGTCTGCCATAGGGAGGATATCAATAACACACTAATACACTTGACACACACACACATACACACACAAACACACACACACGGGCCATGGCACTGGAGAACTCGGTCTTCCCCTCTCGCCCAGATTCCCTCTCGCTCCCCGTGGAGGAGAAGGGGGAAGGGGAAGAAGTGGAGGTGGCCACTGAGGCCACAGCCGCCACAGGAGTCTTTAACCTATCAGAGGAGCTGGGCCACGTCGTCACCACAGAGACAGCGCCGTCCCCTCCGCCCTTGGCCAAGGTCAGCAGGTCGTTCCAGGCCAAACTGGCTGAGAGAGAGGCCCAAGCCAATCAGCACAGGAAGAAGACCCAGGGGACGGAGAAGGAGAGGGGACGATTCGGCTGGGGTGAGTGACCCTGAATGGGACTTCCTGTCTTGGATGGCCCTCCATTTCAGGGCAAAGACAGTGAACCTATTTAATGATAGACTAAATGTCTGTAAAAATCTTATGACTGCTTTCTAGTCACTTCATTTAAATCTGCTCATCTTGCAAGTACATCGTTATTAGTATTTATTTAACTCCTCCAGAGATTGGGACTCTGGATCAACATCCACGCACACATACTGGGTATCAGCTGAACCTGTGCACCTGTTTCTCCTCCCCATCTCACTTGCAATGATTGTGAATCTCCTGTAATTTGGACCGTGCTGCGGTGCTTCACCCCTCAGCGACTTTGACAGTCGTGCACATCTTTTTTCATTAGGCCTCTCCAGTAGCTCTGCTCTTTGTTTGCTCCAGTTTCCCCTCCTATTTGTTCATCTTTCTGAATTAAAACCTAAAAATACTGTAAATGAAAGAACTAGGTCAATGTGATATTTCTGTGGCCCTTTGGTTGTTAAGATATCTGTTGTTTTTGTGTGTTTATACCACAAAATATGAACATACAGACAGAAATGTATCATAGAAAAGGCAGTAAGACTGACATTTAGGGCTAAACTATTCCTTTAGCTATTGATTTAGCTTCACAGTAAAGGATATCCATTGTTGTTGTCAGAGTAAGTGACAAAACACCAGAATAGTTTTGGGTTTTCCCTGTGTCCTGAGAGTTCTGGCCGAGTGCACCCACAGTAAAAAGACTCTACAAAGAAAAAAAAGAATTATATATTGCCTTCAGGGTTGTCCAGTAACTAAAGTCCAGCGTTGTAACTTTTCTCTCCTGAGTGTTTGATGACCTGTCCCGTCGTACTTCATCTGCTTTCTTTTCCTCACCTGTCTGTCTTCATTTCTGTTATCCCGTCTTCACCAGCCTAACGCTGTATCTCTCCCAAGTAGTTTTGTCCCCTGGCACCTCCCTGTGTTTATCCTCCAATCTCTCTATGTGACTTCATTCAACTCACGACCTCTGACTGCAGTCAGAGTTGTAGCTTCAAAGAGCAAAACTTTAGAAAGGCGTACGTGTTTTTGAAGTACTCTAAGGGTTTTTTGAAAGGGTTCCTTAAAAACCAGGGTTGTGAAACTGAGATGCCTATGAAGATTCGTCTTCAACAATCCTGTTTCAAATATAGAAAAGTACTGTTGCTGCAGGTGTTTTCCTGAAGAGCAAGATCTCACATTTCTCCAGCTTCCATATTTGTACATGTCTAACTCTGTAGGGTTCTCTGAGCAAATTCTGTTGCCGTGTCTTTTTCACCAGCCCGGACTCGGCGTAAGAGGCAGCGCTATGTGGAGAAAAACGGTCGATGCAATGTGCAGCACGGTAACATGCGGGAGACTTACCGCTACCTGACTGACATCTTCACCACGCTGGTGGACCTCAACTGGCGCTGCTCACTCTTCGTCTTCGTCATGGCCTACGCTGTGACGTGGCTCTTCTTCGGGGCCATCTGGTACCTCATAGCCTACTGCAGGTATCTTCATGAGGATAGAAGTATATTTATTTGGATGTCTTTGGGCCTGAGCTATGCAGTAGTCCTTTGTGCTAACTTCAGCTGTGGCTTAAACATATTTAACAGAAAAATATGAGAGGGGTATCAATCCTTCCATGTAACTACATTTCTCAAACTGTCAAACTCTTCCTTTAAGGAAATCACCACGAGGCGGCTCCATCCTTTTTTTAACAGCTCAGAGACAGAAGATGATGCTGCGAGCGAGGGACCAGCACTACAAGACATTTCTGCAACGAAGGCTTAAAAAGCCCCATTTTTCAGCCAAAAAAGCAGATGACAAAGCAGTATTAATATTACAGTGTATTTTATCTTGATGTGTTACGTCCTCACTAGATGTGTCTGCTGGATCCCCACTCTAATTAGCTAACGTATTCGTCTCGTAAAATCGCGACCTTTTTATATCAATTACAGGCCACCATAAGCGGTGCCAGAAAGCTGTCGGTGTTGCTGCAATTCCTTGGTCACCAACGCAGGTCAATAAAAGTCATAGATTATATAAAATACTTAACGCCACTTTCATTAATTAGCCCTCCCTGTCTGGCTGAAGCTGTGATAATCGGGGATGTTTGCCAGTGTAGAATTCTGCAGACTCTTAGTGGCGCAGCAGAACGGATGAAGATACCGTACCTGATGATATAGGTTGGAAAAGTAGGTTTTTGCTGCATTAAGAAAAAGTGACATCTTGAATGTTAGGTTAATCATTATGTTTAAATATGATGAATTGGATTACTTCTTATCATAAGAATTAGCTGAAAGGAGGTGGTACATAAAGGCAGAGCTGAGTCGTCTCATCGTACATACTGTATATTTCTGCGCCTCCATTCTAAAGATATAAATCTTCTCGCCCTCTGTCTATTTTTTCCCTCTTGACACCCACGTTGTCACCCTCCCACCTCCCCTTTCTCTCACATTCTCCTCCTTTTCTTCCCAAGGGGTGATCTGGACCATCTGGAGGACGAGACGTGGACGCCGTGCGTCAACAACGTCAACGGCTTCATCTCGGCCTTCCTCTTCTCCATCGAGACAGAGACCACCATTGGCTACGGCCACCGTGTCATCACTGACCAATGTCCAGTGGGCACGATGCTGCTGCTTCTGCAAGCCATACTGGGATCAATGGTCAACGCCTTCATGGTGAGCACTGGGGCAGGTAGAAACCATTGCTGGTCAGTAACAGTGAAAATGGCAGTTAAGACTAGTTTGTAGATACAGCACTGTGATGATTTTATAGATACAGTAATTTGGTGATAAAAAAGATTTTTATGTTTTACTGTGAAAATAAAATACGCTTCCTGCATCTTAGATTGTATTTTTTTTTATAGTATTAGTATAGAATAGTATTTATAGTATTTTTTATTTGCGACTAGAAAACTTTGAGAATTTAATGTACAGATAAAATTTTAAATCAAATGTTTAAATTTTCTGTTATGAAAGCTAAAATTACAGGATATAATCATGTGTGGTGATTTGTGCAGACTTATTTCCACATTTAACTAATTTGAAAACATTACTCTAGCATATTATAATAATGAAATATAAATTAAAATTCATGTCATGGTGAAGTCTGTATTCAAGAATCTTAATATGGCTAATATAAAACCTTTCTTTGTCATACTGACACTGAATGATGCTGACCATGGTGAGAACTTGAATACCGACTGTATATAGCACATTAGTAGGTCAGCTTGAAAAAAAAAAAAAAAAAATGGCTTTCAGATTCTCAGTCAAAACTTCAAATTATCTAATTTCATTGGGCAATGCTCCACCTCTCTGAAAGGCACATAAATAAGCTAAAAAAAAATTAAAAAAAGGACATGTAGATACCGTTTGACTCGAGAGTGTTTGATCAGAAAGAGGCCTCCTGTCAGTTCAGGTAAATCAAACCTAAAAAAGTACATACATTTTTTTTCTTGCGCCTAGAGACAGAGGAGTGAATGCATGAAACTATGCAGACCAAATGACACTAATTCAATGCAGATGGTATTCTTGCTACAAACGAATAGATACTTTGAAAGTGCTAATGGAGCTTGATTTTTTCGCACCAAGTAAGCACTCTTTTGATGAGGACGCATCCACACATTGACGTCCAGGCAGGATCATGTTTATGCATGTTTGTGAGCTGGAAACATGCCATATTAGCAACTGATGGAAATGTGGGCTGTTGTACTATGCATATTAAAAAATGATTGAGTCTGAGGTTAATTCAAGTGTCACTGTTGTTTTAAACATTGAAAACTGGAAATAGCAGGCTCTATTGAAAAAAACAAACAAACTTAGCCTGCATTCAGCTCTCACAATGAATGTGTCCCAGCTGTTCAGTCTACATCAGGACTGTTCGGCTATTTAGCTGACGTTCATTATGAACACTGAATAACAAGAGATGTCATTCATTTTCCTATAATCCTCTGCTTTTCCAATTAGTGGAAATATCTCTCCAAGTTTTGAACAGAGCCTCAGTTTCACACCTCACCCCCACCCCGTCCCTTGCCTCCCTCCCATTCAGGTCGGCTGTATGTTTGTGAAGATCTCACAGCCCAACAAACGAGCCGAGACGCTGGTGTTCTCCAAACACGCCGTCATCTCCCTGAGAGACGACAAGCTCTGTCTGATGTTCAGAGTTGGCGACCTGCGCAGCTCCCATATCGTAGGGGCCAACATGAGGGCCAAGCTCATCAAGTCCAAACAGACTCAGGAAGGTGAGACTGCCAGATAACAGCAATACTGATGTGATTTCTACAACTACAACTTGTACTGCTACCATTGCTGCCACTATGGCAGCTACCAGGAGTGTTTTAATATATATATATTCCATTTTTGAGCATATTATTATAAATATTATAAAATCAGTAATTCTACCTTCACTTAAACAGATTTTGTGTTTACCTGCTTTAAGATAGTCAAGATTTATAGCGTTACGAACCAATCAGGAGAATCTTCCCTTTAAATTCGATGTGATTGTTGTTTCGATCTGTCCAAAAGCATTTTCGATAAAGAAAAGCTCTCATCTGAACTCTTTCTCCTCCCTTCCTTTTCCTCACCTCCCATGTTCTCGTCTCCCTCAGGCGAGTTTATCCCTCTGGACCAGACGGACATCAGCGTGGGCTTTGAGACAGGCGATGATCGCCTCTTCCTCGTCTCGCCGCTGGTGATCTCCCATGAGATTGACGCACATTCGCCCTTCTGGGACATGTCCCAGGCCCAGCTGGAGAAGGAGGACTTTGAGATTGTGGTCATTCTTGAGGGAATGGTGGAGGCCACCGGTGAGGAATGTGTTAAACATACTTGTAAAGTAATGAGAACACAAACGAAAATTTTTACACACAAAATTGTTAATCTGTCTCTGGTAAATCACTATCCCCAGTGCTCCATGCTAAAACGTGACCAGTGTTATTTAAATGAGAAATTAGTGAGATAAAGAGGAACTTTTAGATTTGCTTAAGGTGATGGGTAAGTAATCTTAAAATACTATATGTACATAATTAAGTCTGGTAATTTTGTGCACAAGATAGATAAAATAATCATGAGTGAGCAGGAATACATTTCCATGTTTGCATATGAAATGAAAATGAGGGCAATGGGAAACCATGTGCTGCTAAAAATCACTGTGCAGGGAGTCAATACATGGTGACTCACTACAAATAGTGACAAAAACAACTGTAGCTATATTGAACTGATTAAGATTCCATTTCAAAATTTATGAGGGTACAAGCTACAAAAATAATACCATAAACAATATTTTATTACTTGAGAGTTTTATACAATTACAATTATACAATACAATTGAGTTTTTTTAAGTTTAAATAAAAAAAAAAAAATTAAATATAACAGTTAATACATCATATTGTATGGAAAGTAATACCTTGCAATTTAATTTGATTGTAAAGTTCCAATGGTCTCTATATTGTAAATGCATGTTTGGCTGCAACATCTAGAAATGAGCATTAGGATATTAATCTTGCAGATGCATATAACTATCTGATATTACAGTAATATCATCACTGTTTTTCATGAGGCACACTCTTTGAAACTGTCCATTAGAAAATGAAATTCCTCTTCCAGGATGTAGAGGAGTGTAGAGCTGCAGTTTTTTGTTTGACTGAACACTCATCTGCCCTTGAGCAAGGCATCATTTAACTGCGTAAAATGTGAATGTGTTTTACTTGCTTATAACTTTGCTATGGCTTTGGATTTTTGAAGCTCAAAACACCCCTGACTCTCAAGAGTTTTTTAACCATATTTATCAAAACTTGAGGAGCTCTGTATTTACAATATGTTGAGTGGGAAAATCATTCACACCGGATGGGAAACACACAATCTCTGCTCATGGATGCCCTCAGAGATGACATATTTAGAAGTTGAGTTTAACACATTTGTTGTATTCATGGATATATTTCATATTGTTGACTGAATTGACTTTTACTTGTTTTACTGTCCGAGAACTACAAATCTAAACTTTTAGGAACAAGTAGCCAGGCAGCTGTGCGGACTGTGTGGACGGATTTGGACAGGCCGTGCTTATCTCTTTTCCTTTATCCCCATTTCATATCGCCTATGTCAAATTCATTTTGAGAGGATAATATACTCAACTGTTCCTCACTGTCTGGCAAGAATTCAGTGTATCAGCGCTATTCATGATGCGTCTCCATGAGGTAAAGGTGGCCTCTCTCTGCCCACTCCGTATATTGATTCCCTTAGTCAGAGTGCTGTGGAGAGTTACAAAGAAATAGCTGACAGTCATAACTCTGCTGCAGAGAATATTCATGTAAAGACAGCTTGCCAATTATATTGTTTGTGTCTAAATGGGTAAATTAATTATATCTGCATTGGAGTTTTAGGTGTGGTGCTTTGACTTTCTGCCACATCTAAGCGCAGACAATCTTAGTTATTTCCTCTTGAATATAAACCAAGGGGCTGAATAAGTGTGCTCAGGCATAATGTGTATTATGAATTAATGTATTGTGTGTGTGTGTGTGTGCAGGGATGACGTGCCAGGCGAGGAGCTCCTATCTAGCGGAGGAGGTGTTGTGGGGTCACAGGTTCAGCCCGATGATGTCTCTGGCAGAGGGTTTCTTTGACATTGACTACGGAGCCTTTCATCACACGTTTGAGGTAACGTCTCTCGAAGCTGGAGCCGTGATGCAGGCTTACTGAAGGCTAATTATAGGGTTGTTTGATTTCGCAACCTGGGTGAGCTGACGATATGAAATAGGAATCAAACCATGGTGACTCACTCCATGTCAGGGACAAATATTTAATATATATTAATAATTCAATATTTTGTGACTAAGTCTTTGTATTATCTGAAGTCTTCTGAGAAAGCAAGGCAGAAGTGTGTTAATGAAGAATTTAACAGTTTTTATGAATGTTTTTCAAGGAAAACTGTAACTCTTGATTGCTGTTAACATAAGTATGTGTTCTGTTGGCAGTGTGCCTTGTCTGTCTGGGTCAGTCTGTGGGATTTTCCTCACTTCTAGACAAAGACTACATGACACAGTGTTCAGATAATAGCACAATGGAGTTTGGAAGTAAAAAAAAATGTGTCAAACATTTTAAACATCAACACAAATGTCAGATTTTGGCCCCAGTCCATCAGAATCAAACACCACTGGCTTCTTTCTGCCATTTTGCACTGTTGTTAAAAATTTATCGACACAAGACAAGAATGGACTCTGCAAGAAAAACTGGAACAACTCTTGCTTTGTTTTCCCTATTCCTGTCTCCACCTACATGTGTAACCAGCAGCTGAATCCTCACATTCTCTTGGGGTTGCTAAAAAGGCATGCTGGGAAATGTAGGAACTCTGACTACAGTATTTATATCATGTTGATTTTTGTAGGGACAAGCACTGTACACAGTGTGAACCAGTGCCACATCCCAAAGCTTATAGAGCCTTAACTAGTTTGCAATTCCCATCCCAAGATGAGTCTTTAAACACATGCACACAACGTCTTGGGATGTCTGATCCCTTTTGAAAACGGTTTCAACTGTAGTTAAAAATGATCCCATTCATGTTCCATTGAGCACCTAAACAGAGACGACAGGGCACTGTATAATTTACCATAGATGCAGCCAGAGTTGTAGAAATAGATGAGTCAGATGGAACAAAGATGCGTTCACTTAGAAAGTAAATTCAACAATTTAACTGTAGTGGCTCTGTTCGGCTTTGCGTTGCCGTTGTCCAACAGTGGTGCTTTGAGCTAAATGCAAACTTCAGCATGCTAACATGCTCACAATGGCAATGCTAACATGTGGATGTTTAGCAGCTAGAACGCTTACCATGTTCACAATGAGGGTGATTGGACTGTCATTAGTTTTGCAGATATTTGGTCATAAACTGAAGTGTTGGACAAATGGAAGTGTTGACCTGATGATGGTGCAAGGTGAAAAGCTAAGTTATTTTAATTCCTCCTGAGTGGGACATAAATGCCTAAACCCAGTGTCACGACAATCCATTTAATAGGTGTTAAGATATTTTAACAAAATCCAAAAATGTCATCCTCATGTTGGTAGTAGAGGAAAAGTCATTAAGATTCATCCTCTGGGGACCATCAATGTCTGTACCAAATTTTACGACGATCTATCCAATAACCAAAGTGGGGGACTGACCGACCAACATTGGTAACGCTAATATCATCAAATAGACATCTAAATTGAGGTTTTAGTGATTTTACCAGCTCTCATGTTTCTTCTCCCCTAAGGTGGACACGCCCTCCTGCTCAGCACGAGAGCTCTCATTGGCTGCAGCCAGACTCGACGCTCACCTCTACTGGTCCATCTCCAGCAGGCTGGATGAAGAGCCCACCCTGGCCAACCAGGCAGCCAAGCAGCAGGACAGCTGCTCGGCCAACAGCAAAGGAGGGGAGCCGACCTTCATTGTCGGGGAGATGACTGACATTCAGGAGCAATCAGGACTGGGCGAGCTGAACGGCAGCGTCGCCACCGACCAATCCGAATCGGAGGCCTAGAATATAGAATGTTTACAAAGACCTTCAGTATATCACCACCACACCACAGTTAGTGTTTGCAGATCTTTTTCTTTCAAGGCAAAATTAATAGTTTCATTAGACTCAGTTCTACAGTATATGCCATATCTTGTGTTACCATATGAAGGAGTTCAGTTCTTGATACTTGTCTTTTATTTCTATGTTGATCTTTGTTACAGGTGTCCTGTATATGTGCTATCTCTTTTTTTTTGATCTGTTGTGTTAGCTCCAATCACCCTTGCCTATATCTACATTTAAATGACAATACTATGCTTCAGGTGGGGTCAACTATAGTGTATCCTTTGGACCAGAGGAGAACGTTAAACAGACAGAGGTCATTTGTCTTGCTGGACAAAAAGATGTGGATTTATGTGATGATTTAAATGATGGATTGTTCACATTTAAAATAGGTGCAGTGCATAGACGCTTTAATTTCACCTGCGCATGAATATCACTAGATGATATTGAGGTATGGACTGAAATTGTAGAAACCTTAACTTTCTTTAGATGCAAAGATTTACTGTACATCAATCAGGCGTTGACAGGGTGGGAAAGTAACACCAGCCCAAATGTGTCTACTCTGCTAAAATCTTAATTTAGCCTCAAACCATGATTTGGTGCTAGAAAAATGTTCAACAAATCCTATTTGGCTGATAAAAATAGCAACAGTGGCCTGAGAATTGTGGCCTGTGGACAACAAAGCTGGTTTCCTGCCCTTGAGGAGGCACAGAGTATAATGTTTGTTGGTAACACTATAAAATACATGTGATGACATTCCTAACTGCACTCAACACATTATGGTGAATAGGGTATCTATCTAGAACTGTTAACATAGAGACAGGTTAACACTCGAGTGTGTCTGTGGCTTCGTTTCACGTACGATGTGTGTAGCTCAAGGATTATCTATGTTTTGTCCCAGGCCAAGTAGAAATTAAAAGCACAACAGTGTCCTGCTCAGTTCAGCCCTAACTCCTGCTTCTGCTGCTGTGTATATATGTGGCCATTTTTACTTGATGTTTTTAATATTTAATATAACACATCGATTAGAATTAATAAACTATAGTATATTCAAGAGCAACTGTCTCAGATTGTGTGTGGTGTTCTGAGGAGGGGCTACATGTATAAAAAACTAACTATATATACCATACTGTACATACTGTATGTGGGGTAAGAAAATCAAACTTTAATCCAACAAGGCAGAATTTGTCTTTATGCTACTTTATACTTCTAATAATATTCTACTTTTTACTCTACTATATTTATTTGAAATCTGTATTAACTAGTTACTTAGTACATGTTAAAGTCGACACAAGTCATATAATCTTTTTATAAAACATGATGAACCGTGACTGAATAAACTACTCAATAGTCACAAAGTAGTTATAATTAGCTTCACCTCCACCAGCTACATTAAAATGCTGCTCAGACAGTAATGCAGCCATAATAATGAATAAATAATATCATCTACAGGAACAATTTTACTGCATAACAAAGTACAAACAACAAAGTTTATATCTGATACTTTAAGGACATTTACTCTAGAATATTTTTACATCATGGTGTTGCTGCTTTCTGAAAACCTTTTCCCACCACTCTATAAACTACAGAATCTCTTTTCAACTTGCAGGAAATTTACGGTAATTCTGTTGTTGTCTAGAATCTAACAAACAGTTGGGTTATGAAGTAATCCACCAAATCTCAACTGGTGTCCTATGAAGTCACCACTCTCATAATCTTCTGACACCTATATGGGGATGTAATTAACATGAATTATGACAAGTTCATAGATGAGCAGATGCTGAGAGGGAACCGGCTGATTCTCATTTGACTACTTTGTAGCAGAGGGGTTCAATTTTTATCCTTTATCATCCTCTGTCAAAGAAGATTTGCATTGGACCATGGACCCCAATTAATTAAATGTAAAATTGTGTCCTATGAACCTCATAAGATCTTTATGATATGTAGTACAGTACAGAAATATAATGAATGAGGTGCAGTGGTGGAAGAAGTATTCAGATCATGTACTTAAGTAAAAGTAGTGATAACACAATAAAATACTCTATTACAAATAAAAATAGGGGATTACAACTTTAAATGAAGCAAAACCAGAGAAACACTGGCAAGAGAATGTGTTTAAAGTATGAAAGGTTTTTTTTTTTTTCTAGAATGGCCCTGTGAGTTTTATGTAATTACATGATTGAATAACAATCATTGATGCGTTCACATATAAACACAACTTTAATGTTGTAGCTGCTGAGCCACTTTTAACCGTTTTATACTGTATACACCTTTATATACAGCTGTGTAGTTTATAATAGTTCTGCATATTTTTTAAAGCTAACCATATAATTTACATGTAAAATCAGAAACAGTAGCAGAGTAAATGTACTTAGTTACTTTTCAGACAGAAACATGTTTTTATAATTTATCTCTTGATGTATCATCACTCTTTTAAGTGTGATCATTTGCTCAGCCACAAGCTTAATCAGCCTTACTGCATTTGAAAAAAAACCCCACACATTTTGTACAATAAATCACTGATTATCACTGACTGTTACTATCTGACTAATGGCCCATATAAAACTTTTTATCCGTGTCTCATGTAAAGCCTCACAATGCGATGTATCTCATTAGGAATTCAGGGCTGGATCTTGGCGCCAGGAGAAGTCAGCATATTGGGTTACTAGGCAGAATCTTGGCGTTGAAAAAATGAAATGTCTTTCTCTGTTTTGGTTGCTAGATGGCGATAAAGATCCCAGGCTTCCTCTTCCAGCCAGTCACACAGCTCTATTGGTGTGTAATGAGATGGGGTCCCCGTCTCAGCTGTCTCCTAGGCAACCAGGGCTGGGGACAGGGAGAGGGCAGAGTGTGTGTTTGTATGTGTGTGTGTGTGTGTGTGTGTGTGTGTGTGTGTGTGTGTGTGCGTGTGTGTGTGTGTTTGTTATTGTGTATTTGAAATGGACTTCACGACTGATAGGGGAGTTTGAGGATTGTCAGAGTTAAATTGACATTTGAGTTTGATATTTGTGTGAGATTAGATGATGGCGATGATGCACAGCAGTGACCCTCAGACAAAGGACACTGACATGTTTTGATTTTGTTTTTACCTGTCATAATAAAACTAACTTGAATATCACATAGAACTACAAGTTTTAACATCTAAATATATCCTTTTTTTTGGGTCACTAAACAGGATGAAACAAGACAGACAGAAGAATGTATTTAGTGTATTTCTAGAGTTAAATAGAAATACACTTTATGTTTAAAGAGAAACTCAATCTAATGCTGGAAAGATACAGCTTCAGCAGACATGACGCTGCGTTTAGCTCTCACCTCACGTTGTATGAGATGTCACAACCGGGATCAGACATGTTTTGTTTGGGAGTGTAAGATTCAAGTGCAAGTTTAATAGTTTCCAGTGATTTTCAGTTCGCCACAGAGTTGAACCCTCATATGCCATTTCTGAACACCCATGTGCCATTTCCAAGTTCTAATTATGATTTTAATGACAGGCTGTTTTGCATGATCCCTGCTGAGCTGAAATCAATGTTTCTCCTGATGGAAGGAAGTCATGACAGTTTGGTTTCAGTCTAGGCTAATGGAAAAATGAATAGGAGAGAACCAAAATTTTAAAAATAGAAAAAAAATAAATAAATATTACCCTAACCCATTACTTACAAGACAATGACCTCCAGTATCCAAAATAGAAGACTTTATGCAAAACAAGGCTTTTAAAAAAGTTTTGGAGAGCACAAAACTCCCCACACAAAATCCAATAACAGTAAATGGTTAGTTGTTTTAGAATCTGATCTTAAGGTATAATTGCTTTATATACAGCAACATGGACACACGAAACCCATGACAATGGTAGTTTTGAAAATATTGGATCAATAGTGGGTCATCATTGTGTGGTGATGTTCCAGTGAATATAAATATGAATAGATCAAGCCTGAAACAAACTGAGAATCACTATGCTAATGTATTTATGGCTATTGGTGCAAATCATTGTTAGTTAAAGCTGCTCTTATCAACATTTTTATGTTAACAAAGATCAAATGACTACAACATGTGAAATGGATCACTCATAGTGGTGAACCCACAGAGGATTATCACCTGTCTCTGTCTCTTTCAGCATCTTTGTTTTTGTATTTTACAGCCTGCAACTGTACTGTATTCTCATCAGTGTAATTTTTAGCAACAGCAGACAGAAGCTCTACTTGTCCAGCGCAAAACAACTGACAGACGATGTTAGCAACTAATTGGTGAAAAGATAAAGGAGCATTTGGCAGCTAAAGAACCTGATATTTTCCTCAGGAGTTAGTGGAGACCAAACCTGAGCTAAAAGCACAGTGAACACTGGACCAGTCTCCTATATCATGCATCATTACTGGTTTTGATCACTTCAGTACGCCAATGAAAGGGAGATACAGTGTAGGCTTGTGTCTGTTTCTTTAGCATCCAATATAACTGAAGCTCCTATGAGGTTATAACAGTGCATCTCAAAGACTCCTGAGTGGTGTGGTCGTGGAATACTAATACTGTTTAGCATCCTGTTAAGAATATGAACAGAACAGCCCAATATGGAAATAGAGGAAAATGGAAAGCTGTGTGTTATTAGCTCAGAGATCCAAACAAATTTATTTTCAGAACAATATGACTGTGTCTGGCATTTACAAATATAAAACCTACATGTTGAACTGTTGTTTCAAATTCAGGTATGGAAATGACTACATGTAAGTGATGTCAGTTGTAGGTTCACAGTACTCGACTGATTATTTTTCCTGCTGCTTTTATTGCCCATATTAAAGATCATTTCCTCGCTGTATGAACCACAAGGCTCCACTGCAACACTCTGAAGCCACCGACCTTCATCGAGCCTCCAACAACTTAAGTCAGATGTTTCTTCCTGCTGTACCGCTGATGTGAAAAACATGCAGCAACACCTCCTGTATGTGTAATGAGTTCAATCTAAAGTGAGATATTCACCTCCGGGTAACAGCTGCTCTGAGAATAACCACAATTAAAGCACAACATTCAATCAATGTACAGAATCATTTAATGCAATGCTTAAAATCTCAAACCATCTTTTTTCCAAGAGGTGTATACAGAAATACAGTATTTAATCAAAGGTCACCATTTGATAGAAGAAGAGAGCCTCCCCACTTCCACAGTTGTCTTGTGGCTTTTTCGGTCACAGATCTCTGAGCCCTTTAGTCGATAACTATAAAAGCTGTAAATTAGAAGCAAAAGCCTCTATCCAGTAAAAGTCAGCCTGCCATGTAAAGTAGAACAGAGCTGATAAAGGTGTTAGACCACCCACTGTAACATGCAGCAGGCTATGAGACGGGCTATAGAAATGGCAAAGTAATTTTCCAAACGACATGATTCTATATCACCCTGCCACAGCAGGAAGATATAAACCAAGGACTCTTTCTAGGTAAATCTCAAGACCACATCCTGGCAAACGACAAACTATTTCTAAGTAAATCTCAAGACCACATCCCAGCAAAACTGAGGTGATCAACAAGAAGTCCTGATCAGACCTAAGCAAGTTAGAGTCCTACTTAAGAGCAAGACCGAGACATGCATTAAAAACGTGAAGCTCCTGGCAAAACAGAGCTCACCTGAAGTTAAGGCCTGTCACACCACTGAGACTGCACAGGTGAAGTCCCGTTACTTGGTTATAGTACTGGGGAGAAAATATGACAAACATAAACAAAATAAAAAAGTTGAGACAACTTCCGTCTCTAGTAAAGACAAGTCTAAGTCAAATTCAGCACATCAACAAAAAAACATAATTCAAATGTTTTGTAGATGTTATGTTTGATTATGATGTTTTGATACTGTATCTGTCTCAGTGAAGTTCAAAGATAAAATTAGATTCATGCTAAACAAGTTGCTAATTAATAATTCAGTGTCTCTCAGGAAAACCATTCGACCAATATTGACCCTTCCTGTGATCAGACCAGAGTCCGGCCTTCACCTCCCTTTGGGCAATTTTTCTAAAAAAGCAACATGCGCTGAAGTACCAAAAGGCTTATAAGCGTCCA